AAGCATTTTATATTTAAACATGTCAAAGCACAATTTGTGGCAAGCTCTGCACTTTCACATTATGAAAACTGCAGCTGATGGACATCGATTGTCATGTGAGGCATTAGGGAATGTGTTCTGTAAATAAAACTGGTTTCGACATTTGTTAAGAGACTGACAACTGCAAAGAAGGAAGAAGCTAAGACTCTAGCAGTGCTTAGTGAAGAAAGTTATTAACAGCAGTTGCTGCAATTGAGCTGCATTTTGAAACTCGAACAAAATTGTAAACGACAACTCTTCATACTATGCATAATTAAGTACAATACCAGAATTTAAAGAATATATCATATTATTATTATTATTATTATAACTCTTCTTATATCTGCTTTCTAAATAAACTTAAGCCTCAGTATATTCTGCCCTTTAACCCAACGACAGAGCTGGATATGTTAAGCTGTTGTATAGTTTAAGACTTTTAAGAAAATAATTCAGCCTGAGCTGTAGCTAAATGTGGGCAACTGAACTTCAGTTGACAATTGCTTTAAACCTTTATATAATACTTAACTTAATATATTACTTAATATGCTCATTATGTCACGAACAGACCTTGCTAATACATGAACTCATATCTAAACTGATTTTTTATATTATCAATATAAAAGTATACTGTTAAGACTGAGCTTTCAGTTTCCTATATATTTAATATATCAACTAAGTATCTGAGCTTCCATCTTCTTTTGCCAAGACAAGAAACAATCTGAAGCTATCAATCGTATGACTAACCTAACTTCAAGCTAGACCTTCGACATGTTCGAACAAAGCATCTACTATATATACATTTATATACACATAAACATATATATGTATGCACACATATCTAATATTCCAGCTAGGCAATATTTAATGGTATGTTTATTCTGCTGTAGATAAGCACAATGCTTCAAAGTTTGGCAAACAATTTTCTTGATAATAACCACAAATCACATGGGCAGGGCGTGAAGTTTGAACTGCGGCACCTGCCCCACAACCACACACAGCCACCCAGGGCACCACTCTCACATTCCGAGGATAATCACATCGCTGTAAAGTACATCAGCACATTAAATGCTAACGGACGCATCATTAACCCGCTAAGAACCAGTCCAAGGAGTGGAATCTCATTAGCCGCTGGCCGAGTCGACTTATCGACGCCTTCGCCTTCTTGCTTCGAACCAAATTCAGCTTAACTGATACATTTAATTTTATTTATAACGCACGCATGGCCTGGCCTACCAACGGGGCTCGGCTACGACGGGTCTATGCCACAATCAAGCGTAATACGCGCATAAATATTAATGCAGTGCCTTTTGAATGGCAGCAAGGACGAGATCAGGACGTGAGGCACCTGAGCGCAAACTTATTGGCTTATTAAAGTCTAATGGGCTTTTTTTTTTTGGGCGTGTGATAATGTACTCTACTCCACTCGACCTGGACATGTTTTCCAATGCGCCACGCCCAGACGTACGCCCTAATTGTCTCAGTGGCCCAGCGTCGAGGCCGAATGCTGTGCATATGAATGCCAGAAAGTTGTATCTGTCTCCATTTAATATCAATGTGGATTATAACATGACATTACCAAATATCTAACTTTGTGTGCTGTCTCGGAGTTGTGGTCAAAACTGTTTAAGCCCTGGCCAATATGGGGCATTAAGTGGGCTTTGATGAATGCTCATGAATAAGCAAGCGTGCCAAGCTAAACAACTGGCAGCTGGCAAGTGCTTTTAGGCACGTGTATACCCTGTCACTTTAAAGATGAGTATATATGTGGAGTTTATGTATCAGATTTGCCCGTATAAAAACAAATTTTGGGTAGTTTTGGCTTGAGCGTCGCGTTGGCAGCATAGTTCCTAGAGCTGAGATTGAAAATATATTTTCTATATAAGTAATTTGCACGGATTTAGCTGAACTGCACTCGAAAGGCAGCTCAAATATATTTCCCATTAGTGTTCATCGTTTTTGATCAGACAAAAACAAATTATTTTAGCTTCTAATAAGTTCATATTTACAAAGTATGCAAGCGTCTCATACTCCCACTCACTCTCTATCTCTGTTCGGTGCCCGCTAAAAATCAAGTCAATAAAGTTGACAAGCTCGTGCAGCAAATCCAAAAAGGAAAAAAAATCATGCGCAAGTCGAGGAGGCCAAAGTTTTCAACTCAATTTTCTTGGGCATTTTGCTTAGTAATTTCTCGTTGCTTTGCATCTTTGGATCTCCTAAATATTTATGCTATTATGATGTGCCTCAATTTATGAATTTGCCAAAGTATTTAGTCAATAGCTTAAAGAAAGCAAAAAGGAAATGAACAAAAAGTTCGCTGCATATTTTATTTATTATTATGTGCGCTCTCTCAGCTTGGAGGCGACCATCTTATCGATGCGAGTCTGTACAGTCTGAGTGCGAGGTCCTGAATTTATGTTCAAAGTTTCAGTTTAATGTGCACAACTGCAGGGCACTGAAATCCTAATGGAAAGTCTTCTCGACCAGCCACTTGACATTGCGGTAGGCAGAATAGAAAAGAAAAAATTGAAATATTAAAAAAATTCTCAACTGTGAAACAGTTTGTCAAAGTTTCGCACAAAGTGGCTCAGCTGTCCAATCATTGAATAAATAAACAAAATTCTTTTTTGTAAGCCCATTGCATAAAGCATGAACTTTTCACACTCAAATTAAATTGAAAATGAATTTTCGTAAGTTTTTGCAATTAGCTGTAAATGGAATTATTTATGACATTTGCACTTGTCAAATGTCATTTGCTAGCATTTAAATAATGTGCATGAAAAAATAGAAATAATGTAATTAAATTAAGTTTTTGTGACGTAATCAAACAAATATCAAATAGATTTTGGGGCGCGGCATACAGCCAACATTAATTAAATAATTGATGGCTTTTGATGTTGACGCTGGCAAAGCTAACAAATGATATATACTAAATCGAAAATTAAATGTGGAAAATGTGGAAAATGCGAAAGCAGCGCGGCCGACAAGCGGAAATTTCGAGCTGTGTTTCCTTTAGCCCAAATTGGGCTACACAAATTCCATTACCCCACAACAGACGCCGCGACCAAGTCTTAACTAAAATTATTTAGATGGCACACCAAAGAACAAATATACCATATATGTGTAGAGTGTGTGGGTGAGAGTCTGTGTGTGCGTGTGTGAGTGTAGGTGGCATGTGGTGTGCTTCTGTCCTGCAGCGCATGCACTAAGGCAGAACCATTGTTCTAATGCCCAACTGATGTTGTCGCTGGCTGACATTAATATACCCTGTTCATAGCCAAGTGTAGCAAGTGATGATGCGATAAACGTTTTAGTTAATTCAATTTATATTTACTGAATGTTTTATTTATATTGATCAGATATGGAAGATCATTAAACAAAAATTAATTGAACATAATTTGAATATTTTCAAATCATGGTCAGTTCAGACACAACCCAATGCATACTGTCAAGTATTTTGGGTAGGCTGAAAGCCATATATAAATTTGTTTTTAATAGATATTGATCTGATGTGTTTTTCTCCTTTTCAAGTTGCTTGCCTTAAGTTAATATAAATACTTAGCAGTTATATAAATATATTAATATATTAATATATTTTATACTCCAATAAGCACAAAAGACTGTAATTCATTTTCTGCAACGAGCTTACAAAAAATCTTGAATGAATTTCGCATTCTCAAACGAAATTCTCAACCTAGCAGCTCTGCTCTCGCCAACATACTGATTTCAATTTATATTATCTACTGAGCATCTAATGGTCTATCATGCAGCTAATAGCAAAACACTGAGTTGTTTCACTATTGCCGTTTCTCGTTGCTCGAGCAGCAATTTCCGCTCCAAATGCTCGCACTCGGCTCGTTGCCGAGGGAAATTATTAAAAGCGAAAATGGGCGCGCTATTATTTTTGACACTGATAAATTTACAGCGCAGACCTTGGAGCTGTAACCTACGACAGAACGACTGTGCATTCTCTATTTGTAGAAAATGGACCAGGCCGGGCAAAATACTAGGGCCAAAGCACACTGCCACATGGCTAACGGGGAAGTAATATAAATCGCACCCCGGGGATAAATAAGTTTGTGTTAGTTATGACAATGTGTTGAACTCGCATTGCGATGCATTTGTATAGATGCGTTTGTGTATGTGCATCTGGTAATGTTTGATGCTAAATTATCCAAAAATATTTCTATTATAATGCAGCTTAATTGAAGATTTGTTAAGCTATTTGCAAAGGGAATTGGATATATTACGAAAGTAGTAACAATATTATGTTGGCTTGGACTTAAATAGTATTTTATTACTTGAATAATTAACTATTTGGTACACAACTAAATTAAAATAGAAATATAAAATAATAATAAATTAATTATGAAAATGTCCAACTCCGTTAAAATCTAAAAAAGAAACAAATTGTTGGTCACAGGAAAAAGTTTTTAAGCAATCAAAAAAAATTTTTAATAAAAAAGTTTGTCATAGGATATATTGAAATATTAATTAAATATAATTTTATTTAAAAATAAATCAAAATGGATTTAACATCGTTATAAATCGTATTAAAACACATTTCAACATATAAACTTAAATGAAGAATGTAACATATTTTTGCTATACTAAAACTAATAAAAAAATCAATTCAATACAACTTGTTAGAAAAAATGTGCTTACTAATATAAAAAGAATTTTATCCAAAAATATATTTTAAAAAAATTATACAACTTACATGAGAAAATTTTTAATTTCAATATAAAATACGTGTAAAAAAAGACTGAAGAAAAGCTTATGCTTTTTATACAAGCAGCAAAATACATTTTTAAAATATTTTTTTTTTTCAACTCGCGGATGTATTTGAAATTTAAATGTAGAATTGCAGCTGCCATAATATTGATAAAGCAACTACCGGAAAATCACACACACACAAACGACGACTCAGAATCCATTACTGTAAAACTCTTTATTAAAAATATATTATGCTTTCTCTATTGCAGTGCGTTTTCCTTTGGCTGGGCGAAAAAACAAATGCGTGGTACGGAAGGCAACTGTAGCGGAAGTCCAAGGTACGTAAATAAGTCAGAAATGCAGCGAAAATGCGTGGGAGCCATAAATAAGATGAGGGAAAAGATGAAGATAAGGAACAACAGTGTTTTATAGCCAGCCAGGGCTAAACGGCTCTGGCCAATAAGGCCATCGCAAGAAGCCAAAGACACAAGCCAAGAAGCAAAGAAAATATTAAGTGCTAAACTTTTGGCGCTGCCTGTCAAAAAAAGGCAGCAGAGAGCGAGACTGAGACAAGACTGGAATAGAGAAGAAAAAATATGAAAAAAAATGCAAAACTTGTACAAAGACTGGCGCGCATTGTTAGTGAAGCAACCGCCACGCCTACTGGCAAACGCCCACCCTGTAACCATAGAGCAATATATAAAAGCGTATCCATGTTAAATTCTTAGCGCTGCGTCGCGCATTGTTTGACTTGAACTATGCGCAAGTTATTTCTTTATTTAAAGTCACGAGCGCCATTGTTAACTTGTATTTTTGACCCACTCAACCACCCACCCAGGCACACACAGACACACACACACACCCATACTCATACGCACAATTTTCATGTGGGCGCTTTTTGTGCAAATTTTTTGGCCAAAGTCAAAGCCGGAAACCCTTTTTTGGACCGACATGCTTAAGCTCGAGCTTTATGAGGCTACTAAAGGCTGGAGCGGGAGTCGCCGGGAGGTGGCACAATATATTAGAGTGTATGTCCTCCACGCTGGTGTTAAGTCAGCTAAAAGCCTTTGGCTCCAGCCACTTGAATTTGGTCACAACTTTTTAGAAAACGGATGCAAGCGGAATTACCAGCGAGCAAGAGAGAAAGGCAAAGCGAGTTTAGGGATATATTCCAGAACTAGTTCCACTTTTCCACAGTTCACTATTTTCTCTGGCGCCTAGTGACCATGGCGGCATTGTGGGTGGTTGGACACGGGCCATAGTAAAAGTTTTATGCGCGCCCACCAAAAGTGCAGTCAACGCACTTGGAGACCAAAATATGACTTACGAATGGATTTTTGGACTACGAATTGAAATTGCAATGGAAACGGGCGTGGGATTGGGCTAGAGAGTTTGGAATGTGTCTGGCGTCTGCCCTGGCTTATGCTTGACTATTTGGTTAAATAAGTGCGAGAATGTTTTGGCAAAATACGTTTAGAAGAATTTGGAAAGTGTGTGTAACGGCTGAAAATATGTTTGAAAAAAAAAAATGATTAGAAAATTTATGGCCAGAAATTGTGGAAAAGTATTTTTGAAGGTATTTTACAAGGAATTTTGTAGAAATTGATTTTTTGCTTATTGGGGTTTGATTGCTGAATTATGTGGCATACGAGGGTTGAAAGAAGAAAAGCAGACAGGATACTAGCAGAGCAGTTCGAGAATCTGTGCGCCTTGCCCTAGTGAGAAAATATGCTCAAGAAAAATGTATGCGATGAGCGTAAGCAGCAGTGGGCATAAAACACGATTAGATTTCCTCAAATCATCTAAAAATTGACGAAAATAGAAATTTTCTTCGAGTCTTGCATCTCTAAATTCGTTTCATATACCAACTTAAGCCACCCAAATAAATAAAAAAAAATATATATTTAAAGTCCCAGAAATTACATGCAATTACATCATTTACTCATCAATTTTAAAATTTTATTAAATCTTTAAAATTTTAAGCTGCTGACAGTCGATATTTCTCTTTAAATTAAAATGTTTTAATAAAAATGAAGTCAATTAATTTTGAAGGCACTTGAAGGATGCATTTTGCAACAATGTTTTTAATTTGGAAATTTTTTATTTATTTTTATTTATTTTTTTGCTTCTTATTTCTTACATTTATGGCTGATATATATATGTTGTGTGCTTAACATATAGGCTCTACGTTTTTATTCGTTTTCCCAATGATTTATTGCAAAAATTTCATTAATTTGCTGCTTTGTCATAAAACTCGCAACTGCATAAGAAAATATATATTTACTTTTTTTATTTCTATATATATATAAAATGAAATGAAATAAATTTGATTGGCGTGAGTGCGTGCGGCGCATTGGTGTTAAACAAATTTTATAGCCCACCTATGGGCGCATACTTATATAAGCGAGTCGCGCTGGCGAATGTATTTACGACCAGAAAACTCATTATACGCGCTGCTTGCTGGAATTTTAAAATATATATATAAAATACACGAATACGTAGATATATATATATATCTATATATGTGCTGTATTGTATTTGCCAGTTGTTACGCCTTGTCTGCTTTTACAATGTCAAAGAACACGTGTTTTGTTTTCTTCTTGTGTCGCTATCCAGCAGAACGTGTCAAAAATTAAAAGTGCCCAGAGAAGAGCAATTTCGTGGGCCGTGCAGACAGCAAGAAGTTGCTAAGCAAATCCGGTGCCAGAGATCGTGTCCAATTTTCATCGGTTGGGTTGGGATGCGAGTTGCGTACAACAACTTATTACACATACGCAGCGTGCGCGCCCAAATAAGTATGCTATAGGAAATTTACTTTTTTCTAATTTACGCCTTGCGTGCGCTAGAGCGCCCACTGAGGCTACGGTGGAGCTTTTTCCATTAAGTCTGCAGCTGGCTTCGTCATAATTCATGCGCTCGCCGGGACACACACGCACACACACAGAGACTCTATACTATACATAGGGAGAATCACAGATTGGGGCCATGTTAATTTGTAGGCCGCTGCAGGCGGAAGTCCTTTTGGGTCTTTAAACGCAAATGAAAGGCAAACCGAAGCTTTTACTGCTGCCATGAGCTCATGTATCATTTGTGTATGCGACGCAATCTAACCCTCTTAACGGCCCCCACTTCCTTTTGGCTTGGGTTTTCTTTGTGTGCGTGTTGCTCTAAATTAGATTTTCATTTGCGTGGGCGGCCGAAGGTTCTTCGCCACGCGACGCTTTTGTAATTCACTGCGCCCACTTAGACTTTATGACCTGACACATAAAACCCTTTTGAACCTGACCCCTCTACTGTACTTTTCGCCGGCTTTTGTGCAAAATCAATGCCAAAATTAATTAATCCAAATTAGTGCAGCAATAAACTAGGCGAAACATAAAGTTTTCCAATATGAGATCCACTTCAATTTCTTTTCTATTTATTTTTTATGATTTTTTCTATTATATTTGGCAAATTTATGCGCTTTTAGGATTTTTTTAAATAAAAATCCAAACCAGAGAGCAGAAAAAGCATGTATTTTTATTATTATTAGAAGTACGCGCGTCAAAGCCAGACTAAGCGAGACAGCTCGAGACTTCGAGCCTGCGCCTGTCAACAGCTGTCAGTTGCCATTTTTTATTGATTATAGATGCCTGGAGCGGCACCACAAGCATTTATACCCTGTAGCACGTCGGAGGGCTAGCATGAATCGAGAAGTCTGTAAGAAGATTTGCTGACATCAGTTTCAGGGCTCTAAGGCTTTCACTTTACAAATTGTGCTGCTTTATTCTCAGTTTACTTAATATTCGTATACGTATTTTATTGTATTCTAGTAAATTGTCTATAATTTTTATTTATTTATTACATCTCACTTTATCTACAGGATATCTCTCAGTGTTGTTTTATACATTTACATTTTTATTTTAATTTGGAGAAAGCATACAGCAGAATCGCGTGTGCCTTGGCAGTTACCTTTATTGATTGACAGACAAATTCATCTGAATTTATGTGATTTTTGTGCGAATTTTCATGAGCTTTTTTATACACTGTATTGATAATATAACGGAGTGTATAGTTATTTCATATAAGATGCTTAATGTTAAGTAACTGCAAGCTGAGTCTAGAGAATAGCGAAAGAAGCGTAGATCTTGAATCCTGGAGCCGAATGCTTAGAGCCTAGAGCCTAGAGCCTGGATTCTAAAGCTCAGAGACTAGAGCATCGATCCAAGAGCATAGCGTCTAGGGTGTAGAGCCTAGATGTTGAAGCCTAAGCCCAGATAGCCTAGATAACAAACAGAGCATTGTGCAGTCATTTACAGCCGACATCCACTTTTTGACTTTTTCTAGCCATGATTTGAAAGCAAAAAGTGAGAGGCCATTTGCTGAGGCAAACATTTGCAACATTTGATGGCAAAGCGTTTTGCACAAACGTTAGCAAGTTTTTAATAAGCAACAACAAGAACAACAGTAGTAAGAAAAACAATTTCAAATATATATAATTGAGGCAGCTGCCTAGACTGTAAAGTTTGGTTGGGAATCTTATGGAATTTGCTTAAAGCCTGTAACAAAATTGGCAACTTTTTGCAGCATAATAATAACGTTAAAATATAATGTGTAGCAGCAATGGCTGCAGCAACGAAAACAATACCAAAATTTGTCGTATTGAGCGTGGGCGTGGCAGGCGAACGCCCATCAACGAACAACCACAGCGACAAGCAAACAACATGAAGTGTAACAAATAGGCAACTTGAGCAAAAGTTTGAAGAGTCAAAACATTTGCCAGCCCCTAAGCATATCATGTGTGTGTGTGTATGCTACATATACGTATATATTTATATATATATATATATATATATACGCTTTACGATATTTATCGCCTCTTAAGTATTTTTAAGAAGTTTGCCACGGCAACTTTTACTTTCCGCCCGACGACAACAAACATTTTGTCTTGGGCATATTTCGAGTGGCACTTCAAGTTGTCAGACTCGTGTCTGTCTTCTCTGCCGCCTGCCACGCCCCCTTTCGCACACTATGCGCCAGTGGAAGGCGCTGAGACATTCCTGTACAAAAGTTTTTTCAAGGCCTTAATCAACTTTAGCTATAGCTTAATGAGCGCATGTAATGAGTTAATTCTTCTGCAGTGTTGCAAAGCATCAAGTTTTTAGGGCGGAGCTCAAATAGTTGACAACAGTTTAACTCAAGTGTATATGTGTGTTTGTGTGAGTGTATGCGTTAACAATTTTGTAAAGTATTTGCCGATTATAGCACTTACAACAATTCACAAGAAAAGCTGGGCCAAAACTTTAGAACAGTTGGAAATTTGAATAAATATGTTGATTTTTCTTGTGAACAAAGATTATAAACAAAATAATAGTTTAATTCATTTTTATAGATACTTCAGAACAATAGAATATATTCAAAATATTTTATTTAATTTTAAATAGTTATATATTTTTGAAAAAAGCTTAAGATAAATTTTTAACAAAATCAAAATTAATATATTTAATTTTTTTAATTTAAATAATTTATAATTAAATAAATATTGACTATTTCAAAGTAAAAATATATATAAAATATTTTAAACTAATTTGGACTTGATTATTACTTTAATAAAATAACATTAAGTTTTTTGAATTGGGTAAAAAAAATTATATTCCATCTTTTGGCTCATTTTTAAATTAAATTTAAAATTTGTTATATAATATTGGTATTTAAATTTTGCGTTTTTTCATTTTATTCATTTTCTGTACCTTTCCCACGCTATATTTAATATCAGACTGAAATATAATAATGCTAGCTATAAATTTGTTCATCTCAGCTAATTAAAAAAAGATTAAATTACGTTTTTCATTTATTTCGTTATTTCTTTATTTCAAATCTGAGGACTTCACTCAAAGCTAAAGATTTAATGTCGTTGCAAATTATCGGCTTAAGCGTAACCAAAAACCAATTAAGCGACATAAAATATACAAATACATCCACCCGCACACACCCACTTTCATCCACACACACACAGAGATTACGCACACTTGCGCTGATCCCGTTTGTACGGCCATAAGGCACACAATGAAAATCCAAAAAGAACACAACAAACATTTATTTTGCCACTCAATTCTAAAGCAGAAAAAAAAAACAATTTGTTCCTCTCTTTGCAGTTATTAGAAGCGCAGCCAGTGCGAAAGACGAGTCTATTAACAGAACAAACAGCCTAAAAGAAAAGATTGAATTGAAGGGAGCAGCAGAAGGAGACAAAATCCTTGGCAAATCGAATTGCTAAGCGGCTGCCAATGAGACGCATGCTACACACACTGCTGTCAGCAAAGGCATCACTGGAGCGGCTGTAGCAGCTGGTAACTGGAAGCTGGCTTAGCCGGAGCTGCAAGCAATCGAAACAGTTGGTCGGTTTGGCGAAAGCCGATTGAAAATTTGCTATATTGACATAAGGAAATCGTTAGCCGGCTTAGCTAGCTGCCAGCCCTGCAGGCACATTTAAAATTAAAAAATCTGCCAAAAAAATATATACACACTGGCACATATACATATATCTTTATACATATAAATATATATATATATGTATCTTTGTGAAGGCAGACAAAGTGTTATGCTAATGCGAGTGAGTGGGCCATGAATATAACATGACTCAGGCAGCTAAGCACAGCCAAGTGATGACAATAAGCCCCAAGATGAGCAGCAGCAAGCTAGAATAGCAACGGAGTGAGACAGAGAGAGAGAGAGAGCGAGAGAGCAAAGCGTAACTAAGAGCACGAGCGATAGATATTGATATTGAGAGTGAGAGAGCGTGTCGCATTGAGATGACGGAGCTGCGACGCCTGGAATCACTGCACAAGCAGCATTCGCTGCGCGGCGAACGTGTGCCACATCCAATGCTGCTGCAGCACTCGCTGGCTGATTTGGCCGGCTGCAGCTTGAGCAGCGGCGGCAACAGCGTGGCCAGCACCACTAGCAGCAGCACAGCCACTGCCACCACAGCGCTGCACCAGCAGCAGCAACAACAACAGCAGCAGCATCGCAACATAGAGTTCGATGAGCATGACATTTACTATGTCTCACCTTCCAAACGAAAATCGGGCGTGGCACCTGTTGGGCCAGCTCTGAGGCCGGCTAACGCCTACGAGGCCAACAACAATATGAACGGCAATCACAATGTGGTCACCTTCTCGGATTATGTGAGCGAACGTGGCGCCTCCATCAGCAGTTCGCATCGTGGTTCGCTGAAGCGGGGCAAGGGCCGCAGTAATCAGTCGCTCTGCAGCTGCGATGCCGGCGATGAGGCGCAACTGCAGCCGGATGCAGCGCGTCCGCTGTACGAGTACAGCTTGGAGCGACGCCGCAAGACGCACACCTACACCTGTGAGCAGAACGCACAGATACTCATGAGACTGGAGCGCGAACGTAATCGTAAATTATCACTGACTTCCATAGGAGGTGGCATGGGAGCGAGCGGAAGTCAGGGCACTGGCGAGTCGCAGGTAAGCGCAAATGCTTATGTTTATGTAATTGGAATCATGAGCAGCATGAGTGCCAGGCACGTGCTGCGCGTGTCTAGCTGAGAGCCCCACTCAATATATATTTATATATATAAATATATATATATATATATATATGTATGTCTGTGCGGCCTGTTGCAGGCAAATTTGATAGGCAAACAATTCGCGGCACGTACTTACCACAACAACAACAAGAACTTTGACTGACATTTGGGCAGCTGGCACATGGCATATGGCACATGGCACATGACACACATAGCACCTAGCACCTGCCAACTGCCACCTTGCTTGCTGTCCAAATACATAACTGTGCCATCGTTTAATACAGTATGCAACATTCGGTGGCACGACACTGTACATAACTGCACAGATTGAGCAAGCACTTTGTTAAATATTCATAATAGATTATGAATAAATTGTTGCTAAAGCTACTCGCAAGCATAGTTCCAGACGAGCTGAGCTCTCAAATAAAAATGAAATAGAAATGCTCTGAATCAGGCATTAATCGTGGCTCCAGCTGAATACAAACTTATTTAGTTTTCGGATTGTTTCATATGTAACACTTAAATGGTTTTGCATAAGTTTAAATATAATGAGAAACTTTAAGAAAATCAAGTCAAGAAGATAAAAAATCTGCAGACTTTTGGTAAAGTCATGAGAATAATAAAATAATAAACTAACAACATTAATGACAAGTTAAAATAATAATAATTCAGATAATAATTTACACCTTATATAAGGTATTTGAAACTGTTTTATGTAACGTCAGATGGTCACTCTGAATGGTGTGTCGGACTCTATTAACTAAGTCAGCTTAACAGAATCTTTTCTCTGCTAGGGTTTCCTAGAGCTCGAAACAGAGCATTAAGCCACATTCTATACTTAGTTTTCCTGCCTCCAAGTTTTACTTCCTCTGCCTATGACATCGTCATAGACACCTCTCCAGGCATCTTTGTCTTAGCAGATTTATTTTATTATAGTCTCCAGTTCTCCAGTTTTATTACAATAATTATTTAAGCTAGTTAAATATTACTTTCTTATATCAACCTTTTTTCTTATCAAAATCTATACTGACTTCGACGCTCTCCCCATCTTATGTAGACACACTCAAAGCTATAATTTATATCAAATCATATATAAATAATATATATATAAATATAAATCTCTAATATCTAACTATTTACTAAAAGTCTCAGCGCTGTTTTTTCTTGGCTCTTAATCGAGCACAATTTAGGCTCTCCAAATCCCATAACTCTCATTTGGCCATTTTGCCTTAGTTATAATAATGAAAACAATATTAAAAGAAATATTACTCATAATAAAATAATATGATACAAAACTAATTAAATAACAAGCAAACTTTATATTAATATAAATATCCAAAATATTGTGTATAAATTGAAAAGTGTCTTTAAAGCAAAAAGAAGTACGTTTTTAATGTTAACAAAATTTTAAAGATGATTTGCTGTTAATAACATGTCGAAAAAGTTTGTCAGCTGCCGGGGCGGATAAGCCCAACTTCCTGGAAGTTCAAAAGCCAACAAAAGCGACTGGCCACGCCTTAAAGTGACTTTCCTATGAATTTAGACTTTAAAGCTGCCTCATGTCCGGCGCCGGACAAATTTGGACTTGGAACGACGGAGATATGAAAAACTTCTTCATGTTTTTCTTGTGGAATTAGCGACAAAAACAGTGGTCAGAATTTGTCGAAGCTTTGGATTTGGCTAAGCAGATGCTGACTTAAGAGAAATAGAAGTTGTAAGACCAAAGCTTTTGCTTCATTTTTAACTAAGGTTCAAATTTGTTGAAACTTTTAGTATTAAAATATATTTTTTCAAAATATTCTCTGAAACCAATTCAAACTCAGCATGCCACGGCGACTGGCAGTTGGAGTCAAATAGCTTATCGGATATACACATTTCTAAGCAGAATGTATTCAGTTCTCCTATGGCCAGGATTGTAGACATTTACACAGTTAAACGAAAAAAATTAAATAAAAATAAAATATTTATCAATAAGCAACAAAAAAATAAATATAATTATAAAATAAAATTGAAATAAAAATCATAGTTTAACATTGGGTAGAGCAAAGGCGAAGAACTTTAAGATGGATTTGAATCTGAGCAGCACCGTCTCGGCGGCCACCATCCAGTCGGGATCGGGTATGATGAGGACCCGCAAAGCGAAAGGCAAGCGTATGTTGCCTTCCTTTGACCTGTCGCTTGAGCAGAAGCAGGACATCAAGAAGGCATTCGATTTATTCGACACGGAGTGCACCGGCTTCATCGAGGTGAAGGAGCTGCGCGTGGCCATTCGAGCGTTGGGCTTTGAGCCCAACAAGGAGGAGATCAAAAATATGATGGATGAGATCGACAAAGATAAGACAGGAAAGATAGCGTTCAATGATTTCCTACACTTGATGCGCTTGAAAATGTCGGCCAAAGATGCCATGCAGGACTTGTTAAAGGCGTTCTCCTTCTTCGATGACGATCGCACCGGCTTTATCTCGTTCAACAACCTGAAACGTGTCGCCACCGAGCTGGGCGAGAAGCTGACAGACGAGGAGCTGCAGGAAATGATCGATGAGGCAGACTTAAGCGGCAGTGGCGAGGTGTCGCGCGAAGAGTACTTGAATATGGTGAAGAAAACTAATTTGATTTAGTTCTCAGACCAAGCACACACACACACACAAACAAACACACAAAGCAGGCGCGGCACGGGGAATGCGCTTATTCGACTAATCGAATAAATATATATATATATTAATATATATATATGTATATATATATATATATGTATATATTTTTTATATTTGTATGTATGTCAGGCAGGAGATTTGTTAACTTTCTTACATCACAGAAGACTTATTGAAGAAGTTTGGATATGCTTCGGTTTAATAAAGCACTCTGAAAGGAAACGTTTCCAGGTGGCTTCCAGTATATTTTTGTTCCTGTTTCTCATTTTTATCTATTTAAATTCCAATAGGCCGGCCTGTGCCACTGGCTGCCATTTGTCACAATTAGCACGGCGGAACTCCAATTACATATAAAAAAAAGAATGGCTCGCATTATCTCGCACAGCTCTGCTTTATAGCTAGATATGCCCGTGTTTAGTTGTCCTTATTTTTGTTCGGTGCCGACCGCTGTCATGCATAACAAATCTCTTTGACACATTTGATGTATGCGTTTGCTGTAGCTCCGGGCGGCAGGGGTTGTGTGAGTCTGTGTGTCAGCAGCAGCTGCTCCACTTTGCCGAGTTGTTGCAACAAATTGCGGCAACAATTTGGCGGCATGCGTGGGTGCATGCCAGCCGGATTCTGGCCGGGCAAACATACTCGTTATTTACTAGCATCGTTTAACTTTTTATTTACGCTATGCTTTGCATTTAGCGCCATTTAGTGATCCAGTTTGACTTCAGAGTGCAAGTCAAGCCAGCGGCATTAAATTCATCAGACGGCTTTTGCTTATTTCGAGGCGAGGCCAGGCCAAGCGGCGTATACGCAATTTATGTGACAATTCAGTCAACTAACGCCGCCTGCCTGCCGAGCACTTAACCCACTGAACAGTGAACTCTGTCTTAATAAATCAATCAGACAATTGAGTACATATTTAAGCCAGCGCTGGGTCGATAAATTAAGACTCAACTGGAAATGAAAGTGAAAAAAAACTGTCCAATAAATTAAGTATAAATTCAAGCTCTAAAGACTCATTCGCACTTTAAACAAACTCTCTGGTTCTCTCCAATGAGTAGCTAAAGAGGATATCTATATATCCGATATATTCTTTTTGATAAGTCATTTTCGTATTTGAATTTGCAGAGCTTATACAAAATCTTAACGGCTTCAATTAACACCCGCACCACATGGCGTATGCGCAATAAAAACCAACCTTTTTATTGCCTACTTATGAGCGTGTCTTAAACAAAGTTATTGCAAATAATTACGTACTCTGACCAGGAGCCAGTGAAAACAAAAATAAAATCTCCAAATATCCGTTGATAGAGTCGTAAAGCTAAGAGGCTGTCGGGTAATTACGAGTTCAGCTTTGATAGCATTCCGAAAAAGGAAAATAAATATTGAAATAAAACTAAAACAAACTTGTGCATTTATAAAAGTTTTCGTCTTGCTTATTGCTTTTGGCAAATCGATTAAAGCAAAAAAAATTGTATATATATAGAAGCAACACTCAATTTTACGAACATTTAACTAAATACCCGGGCAGAGGAACACGCTGCCCAGTCCCTAAAACCCAAAGAAAATTCGCATAAAAAGGAAAAAACTACTAAAATGTAAAAGGATCTGCGCTGAGCAACAGCTACGAAAGCGGAGCATGAAAAAAAGTTTGGCGCAAACTACAAAACTGCCATAACTCAACATTACACCAAACAAACTCACACACACACACAGACACACACCCACACAGAGCATATTCGCAAAGCTGAGCTGCAAAAATGTTCGTAACTGTAGCGAGAAACTTGAAGAGAAGCTGAAAAAAAGAACAATGATGAATGCTCACACACACACACACACATACTTACATAAATTATGGTAAAAAATTGCACAAAATTGCAGCAAAGTAGACGAAAAATGATTATAAAATGTGCATTATGAAATTTAAGGCGAGACAAAGACGCGCATAATTCAAAAGAAGAAAAGCGCACGCAGAAAGTCAGCAAAAGAGAAAGCTAAGCTAAAAGTCGCGAGTGTAAAATAACAGATATACCCACATATATATATATATATATATATATATATATATATACGTATAGTTATGCAACGATATATCAAGCAATTTAATGCTCAAAAAAGCAGCTAGCTGCGGTTAGCCAAGTCCTGCGGTGCCACTCACAGCCAAGCTCTGCCCCTTACCCCGCCTGCCGCATCTTCTTTCGCTCATCGTCATAAACATGGCGTCCAATTTGTGGCATAAACGCCAAATAAGCATATACAGCATGCAGCATAATGTTGCATACTTTGGGGCGCAGTTAACCAGCATACCCAGGGGGAGTTATGCATATGCATATGCATGCTAGAATGGCTTCTACTTGAAGCGAAAGCAGCAACAACAGCAGCAGCAGCAGCAGCAGCAGCGAGCACAAATCAGTGAGAAGCGCAAGATGCGAAAGAAGTTCAAAGTGCATATGCAAGCATATTTATGATGCCTGGGACCTGCACAGCTCCGTCTCTCAGCCTTTAATTAGTAAACATACTTTGAAAAGTTGAGGTCGCCAGCGCCACTGGGAACAGCTTGAAAAACTTATGTACAATAAACAACAACAACAGCAGCAAAAGAGTTGTATGGCGCTAGAATTTGTATTAGTTGTTGACTAATTAATATAAGAACAACAAATTATTGCACTTGTGTGAGATTCTCATTTAAATTTATGAAGATATTAGCAGGTATTAGAACAAGTGGAATGTGTGGAAATTGTTGCATTTCTGTGGAATATGTTTATATTTATAAATATATTTTCTTAATAATTCTTCATGAATATAAGAGGCATTTCTGTTGAATATATTTATAAAATATTCTTGTATATATTCTTGATAAGTCTGACCTTAACAGACAGCAAAAATTCTGTCTGTCTATCGATGTAAACTTCTAAAACTCGCTTATTAATATTTGCCTAACGCCATGCATATGAAAATACTATATTAAAAATTAAGTCGCATCTTTGCAGAACCTAACACCTTACTAAATATTTATATATTCCATATTCAAGAAAAAACCTTTCTTTTTGCCTTAATTGGCTATAAGAAACTTTTCGAGAAGCATAAAAAAATTGAAGATCATAAAATCAGCGCGTGGCGTCAACCAAAAATTTGGTCAGCCCGTTGGACAGGCAAAATATGCAGGAGATGCCACCGCAGAATATTTGCATAAATTATTTAAGTTTTTTCGCTTGCCGACGACAGGCGTAGGAAATTACCAGCGTCGTGTAATGAAAATATGAAAATTTTCAATTTCCACTTAAGCAGCGGACATGCTCGTTCGTGAGCCGCACTGAACTGGGCTGAGCTGGGACAGGCGTGGGCGACCGGCAGGACAAGACTAAGTAAATAATAAAAATAATCAACAGGAACACGACAGGCGACAACAATAACAAGCTAGGGGACAATCAGATTGGTGGGCGGCTTGCCGAGTGGGGAGGGAGGCGGACGAGTCGTAGGCCCAACATAAAGCAATCAAAATTCAAAGGAAATTTTTATTAATGTCAATGCGTTTCATTTCGGCCAGACGTATAAAAATAAAAAGCAAATCAATGCAAATGTATTTCCCGTAACTGAATTCAATTTCAAATCCCCGGAGCGTCGGTGTTTCATGCTCAACGATAATAATAATAATAATGATGATGATGATGATGACGATGATGATGATGCTGATGACGCCATGACCTGACCGTAACAAATTCAATTAGGACACCAACACAACGCACTGCGCACTTAGATGGCCAACTGGAAGCTGGGCAATATGGAGGAGTCGGGCTATGGAGGAGTTTCCCTTTCACTCAAATAAACCTTTTTGCTTGCTCTTTTCGCACGCCCTGGCGTGTATGTGTGAGTGTGTGTGTGACTCACTGTCTATGGCATAATTAAATTTCATGTAGCCGTCGGGCAGCTGCAAAACGCTTGTGCTGCCCTCAAAAAATCTCGTTCTATACATTTTCAGCAATTCGCTAGAGTGTGGCAGACAAATATATATTGAAAACTCTTTGAACATCAATATACGTTAATATTGATTAAGCGGGTACCATACGGAGCGGAAACTAGAACTTTGAGGAGCTCGATTATGGAGCGAACACCAAATTTGATTAGCTAAAAGCTAAAGGGTTAAAGCACAATAAATTTGTGTTTAGTGCAAACATTTCCTTATGTATATATCTGATATTAATATTGTTATATAATTTATATTCAAGCCAAATGCCAGTGAAATCGTTTAGTAAAGCGTGTCTTAAGCACACGGCTAAGTCTTGGCTCTTTGCACTTGGCCGGAAGTTTTCCATGTCGATTGATTTAATGCAATTTCCGCTTTTGTGACAGCTGTAAATTTTCAATTTATTTAACGTCTTGTTCTTCTTCTTCTTCTACTTCTGCTTTGCAGCTAAGCGACACGCCCAGCTTGTCGGATGTGGACATCATACCGCCCGTGCCGCCGCCGCCTGCGCTCAAGCGCAATGGCAGCATGCGCAGCCTGCGTCTGCTGCAGCAGCTGCAGCAACAACAGCAGCAGCATCAGCAACTGTTGCCGCTAGCTGTCAACAAGAGCAACAACAATTTGGCTTTGGGCATGGCCCAGCTGTGCAGCAGCGATCTGCTTGAGGATTGCACCAAGACGGCGCTCGATGATTGTGCGGCCACATTGCTGAAGTGCGCCAACAGCGGCAACAGCAACAGCAGCGCCAACAGCAATATAAATGTCAAGCCGGATCTGTGCAATGGCAACAGCCACGCCCACAGCCTTAAGAAGTCGCACAAGCCCAAGCACCCGCCCTTTGCCGCACACGAGGAGGACAACATCTTTACGCCGCATTCACAAAAATCTGATCCCAGTTTATGTTTTGTGCCAGCAGCTGCCGGAGCAGCAACCGCAGCAACAGCAACTGTTGCTGCCGCGCCAAGCAAATACAATACAATCGGGCCAAGCAGCGACTATGCACGACACTTAGCCCACTATAGCCGCTACCTGCAGAAGCAGCATCAGCAGCAGCAATTGGCTCACTTTCAGCAGCAGCGTTGTCGCTGCTTCTCGCAATCGTTGCTCAACTTTCCGATCAACCAGCAGCAGCAGCAACAACAGCCACAACAATCAGACTCCAAGCAGAACCTGGGCGTTCTACAGCAACTGACGGAGCCAGCAGCACACATATTTCACACCAGCAGCATGGACTGGACGCTGCCAATGAATAGTCGCAGCTTTGGCAATTTGGTCGACATCGATGGCGGCAGCCGTGTGCCGTATCAGAAAATGCAACAATCATCGGCGCTGGCCTCCTCCAATTTCACAATGAACTCCTTCGACAGCGCCAACAGCACTGGCATACTCAAAGAGCGCGACTCGCAGTCACATTTGCCATCCCATGCCCATCCACATCCACATCCACACAATCATCCACATGGTCATTCGCATCATTATCATGCACACGATGTGGCGCATTCGTTGCTGCATCATGCGGCCGTTGGCGCAAGTGGCGGCATTCCGGCCACGCCACAGAAACATCATCAACTGCACTCGAGCGTCACGAGCATCATGCCATGGAAGCATCGACAGTGCCCCAGTCGCGGCTCATCCAGTTCGGGCACAAACTCCTTTCGTAAGTTCACAAATTGACTTATTTCTCAGCGCATTTTGTTTACTTTTCTCGAAAATATATACTAGATATGCCACCTGCCAAATTATGGATCCAATCAGTGATGGTTTACTAATCAAGTCAATCATGGCAGCTGCTGCACTCAATTTCATGCCCTCAAGTATAGTTGCTCTATGAACTAGTTCGCTGTGTGTGCGCAGCCCTGGCTTGTTGTTACCTGGCATTGCACTTGTCTGGGCCAGCATCGCCTGCCCCCTCTGGGAGGCGCACACAATTCTATTTAGTCGTTAGCCGTTTGATTGCGTCCCATGTAACATGGACGCTTAATGTTAAACGTTGCCAATGCCCGCGTGACTTTGTCCCGCTCATCAAGCGCACATCACTCTCCAAAGGCAGCGCGAGCGATGCAGGCGTGGCCCACTTGCTGGGTCTAGTGCTGCAGCTCGTTAGTTCGGTGCCCGGCGCCCACCAAAAACTGCGTAGCGTACGATGTCCTGTCATGTTAAATTTATGCAAATCGCTGATGCCTGCAACGCCGCCCACCACTACTCTGACCACTTTAACAGCAGCCGCAGCAAAGGCAGCATTTGTCTGACAACTGCCGCACATGCTTTCCATTTGCAACTTGCTTATCGGTAATTCACTTTGGAGTCAGGTCCAGCCAGCGAGTCCCTGCCAGTGTCGAGCTCTTTCCATAATCAAGCGGATTGCTTAACATGCAAAAACTGAGCTAGTTTTACGCCTCACTTGACATTATTTGCTTAGCTGCTGCCGTTGCTGATGCTCTGATCAAACGACTCAATTGCATAATCAAATTTGGCTTGCAATTAAAATCGATTCGATGTCGAGCAGCCTTAAGCAAAATTCTGATTCACATTTAGTTAGTTTTTATTTCAGGTTTGTTATGAAAATTCTCTAAATTTGTTGACAATATCTGAATGCAAATAAGGAAAATTGAAATGGAGACACAAAATATAGTTGGAATATAAGATTTTTTTTATTTTTATTAGCGTTGTTTGTAGAGGTTTTTGTATTTGTTAAGTCAGGCTTGATATCATATCTTTAGGTATACAAAAGGGGAATATATTTTTACTATTTCTACAGCTCCATCATTAGCATAAATCAGTGTTTAAGCTATAGCAAATCTTGATGAGTTCTGGGTATCTTTGAAGAGTGACTTCGTGTGAGCTAAAGCCAATGTTTCTCAACTGAGTAGAGCGTTTCCTTTCTTTCAATTTCATTCAGAAACATTCCTCATATCTAAAAACAATCCTCATTATCTCTATTGCCTAGGGCACAAATGTTATTCTCATGTATCTATACTCGATTGCTTCTTATGCAGAGGTAGTTTCCTGCCAATATTAGGTGGCCTTCTATATCATGTTCAGTCAGTATCGGTATATTTAATATAAAATCAATCCCACACATGTCGTTAAGCTTAGCAGCTGTTACTATACGGAAAACCTTTAACTTCCACAACTTCAACTTTAACAAGCACTCTTGACATATAACTCTTTGTTGCTTATGCTCTTGCTATAAAACTGAGTAATCACAAGTTTGCCTGGCGGATAAAAGTCAAGTTTCATTCAAGTTCCGTGAACAAGGAGTCAGACATAGACTTAAATAATTAACATTTTCCATAATTTACTTCATTCTTTTTAACTGCGACACATAAGCAGCTTAAGCAATTGCCTTTACACAATTTATACTTACTTTATTAATGCGACATAATAACTCATTGAGTCTCTCGAATTGTATTATAATAGAGCTAATAACTCAGTTGTAAGCACACACACACACACATACACACAGGGTCGCCCTCGTGTTATTTCATGCTTGACTCAGTTCAGTCAGTTATCAAGAAATGGTTCGTCTTTTGTCAAGCAAAACCAACTAAGCAATTCAATTTTAAACGTTTAACTAACCATATCTCCTTATTATACTTTCTTCTACTGCTGCTGCTCTATCACTGCACGATGGGATGGCAAAATAAAAACAACTGCAACAACTTGTTGTTGTTGGTGTAATCAATGCCACTGTCACGGCAATTTGCACACACACAAAATGCAACACAAAACAACCAACAACAATGACGACGACGACAACGACGCTGTTGTTCTCTACGGCACTACAAACGACTTGGCATTGAACTACCAATAACAACAACAACAACAACATGAATATCAACAACAACAACATCATGAATCGCTGTCCCTGGTCATCATCATGAATGCTGATGCTGGTGCTGCTCCTGCTTACTGGCAATACGTTGCGTATACGTAACATTGGCCAGGCTTCGATGCGGCCAAGCATTGGCTGGCAGTCAGCTCGATACTCTTGATAATTGGCGCTGCCAGTGTGGCAGTGCCCCTGGCGCTACGTGTGGCTGCAAGTGAGTAGTGTGGACTGTGTAGACTGTTTTCAGCTTTCAGATACCGGACAATAAATCAATTACCATAACGCATACGACACGTAGCCAAAGCTCAAAGTGTCAAGAGACGCCATGCAGCCGCCGAGACTGTATGCGTGCGTTGTCTTTGTGCGTGTGTGCCGTGTTAATGCGTTCAAGTTAGTTAGTAGCTGCTGCTAACTTGGTTTTATGAGTCACACACTCCATTTTTACCTTCTCCATTTCTCCATTTCTCTTGCTCTCTTCTTTGCCCCGGCAGGTGCGCCCTTTGAGGAGCGTTTGCGCGTTGCCGTACAGCTCTTGGATCAAGTGCCTTTAATCGATGGGCATAATGATTTACCCTGGAATATACGCAAGTTCCTGCACAACAGGCTCAACGACTTCAAGTAAGCAATGCGCAAATGCAATTAATTTTGTATATTTTTAAGTGAACGTCTTCTTAATTTTTCTTTCAATTTTTCTTTACAGCTTTGATGAGGACTTGCGCAACGTGGCGCCCTGGGCGCGCAGCCACTGGAGCCACACGGATCTAACGCGTCTGAAGAAGGGACGCATATCAGCGCAGGTAAGTGCACAGTGCCTGCTAAATATATGCCCGCCTTAGCTCCTGCCTCGCTGTCTTTAAGCGTTAATTGGCCAGCTAACTTATCAAACACAGCTCGACAGTGGGCCGCATAGGTTCGCTGCCTGGCTTGTCAGGCACTTAAGGAATTTTCAATTTTTTCAATTGCCAGCGAGCACTGAATCAAGAATATTGAGCCGACTTTAGAAATACCCTAGAGAAACTGTTATACTGTTATACTTTCTATGGCTCTACATTGCTCCGACAGCTCTTACTTAAGATCTTCTCTAACAACTCTGTTTCCTCATAGCTGCAAATTTTATGACTTTTTCTTTTCTTTTTTTCTTTCTCCATTTCAAGCAGAGTATTACACAGTCGCGTAGTTTCTGTTGCTTAGTTTCACTTGTCTTTCAATCATTTTCACAATTTTTTTTTCTAATTGCCGCTTAGTCGTTGTCCCGGCAACCTTTGCAGTAGTCTGAAGCTATCTTTGCTCCTGACTTTGCTTTGCACGTCTCAGAGAGGAAAAAAGTGAAATATTAATTATGGACCACTATTCACCTGAAGCAGCGCTTCAGCAACAGCTTCTGCCCTGGCCAGGCTTCGTTGCCTTTGCTGCTGCTGATGCGTTCATTATTTTTGCCATGCAACGGCCTTTAGCTGCTATTTAGAACGTAGCTTCTAATTGGTCATTATTGATTCCGTAAGCTCAATTTTGTACGTCATAATTTTTTTTTTAAATGGCTTACTTGATGTTAATGCCAAGGGCGACAAGCCTGTTTAGCCTTGAGCGTAGTAGCAGCTTAATGTAGCTGGCTGCTATGGCAAAGTAACACAGCTTTGTTTCAGCTTAAGTTGGTTTACTATTTATAGAGACTTTGACTTTGGTAATTTATATTGCTCTCTTTATAAATTACCAAAGTCAAAGTCTCTATATATATTTATTGAATCGAGTGTTTGGCTTAATCATTTATTGAATTGCACAGAATTTTTTAGAGCTATTTAACAGATATAATATAAAACATTAGTTGGAGCATGATATTATGTAGTAGAATTAGACGTGTGGCATCCGCTTGCCCATGCTACTCTCTTGAACTTTACTGCACTGCTGCCTGCTAGAGGTTGCTCTGCTGAGAGTGAGTGAAAGTGTAGAAAGTGTCGTGGCTGCATCATTGAGTGACAACAGGAGAGCTCATGAAAATGTGTGTGTCAGTTCATGCACCATCAGTGAATTATGGCATGGTTCAATTAGTGTGAAAGTCGAGCTCGTGGAGAGTGTGCCCAGGCAGTGGTCGGTATCTAAGGTAAGTATGGCAAATATAGACGATACAAAGACTTGTCAAGAGAATAAACCATATTCTAATACATTATCACTATTTCATATATATTTAACTGACATTTTCAGTTCAGTTCGAAGCAGCAAAGGAAATGCAACAAACCCAAGTTTCAACATAGTTGTGTAAACTGGCAGTCTGAAGCCTTTTCTTAATCAGCTGCTAGTTTCTATATCATATATAACTGTCTCTAGTTTCTATATCACATATAAATGTACTCACGTTCACGTTTCATTTTTAAAAATTAAATTTTTTTTATTTTAAAGCTCAAAATTTGCTGCATACTTGTAAATAACTTTTTTGCAACGAAATCAATTAGGCCTTTCAAACGGAAGCAGTCAGAAGGGAAATCCCAACTAAATTGCATTTAATGTTCTTTATTGCCAGCTCATTTCCTAAGCGTATGCCACAGAAAGGAAAATAAGTAACGTGAGTTTCTCGCACACTTGAAATCGCACTTGACATCAATTAACGAAACACTTACGCACACATGCTCTATGTGTGTGGGTGTGAGTGTGTCTTTATGCATTTTGAAAATGCAAAGTGAAAGGCGAAAGCTGAAAGCTGAAAGCTGAAAGCAGGCGAATGGCGGATGGCGTCTTGCGGCAACAATTTGCCGCCATCGTCAACAAGTTCAATTAGCTACCCCCGGACTTGGAAATTGTTGCCTCACTCATCGAACATGAGAATCTAGAAGTTTTCAGCTTTCTGCCTTCAGCTTTCGCTACCTGCTTGCCAACTAGTTGCAAATACCAATAAGTATGGCAATAATGACGCCTGGGAGCAGTTAACTAAAACAGCGCCCATTTGCGCGGAGGCGTGGCACGAATGCTTGAAAGTGTGAAGTTTTAATAAGCATCGACTTGTGGCCCCATAAAAGCCAGTGAGCAATTCCCGCCAACGAGTCAGAGTCACGCCATTTGCCAACGTAATTAAATTGAGTGCAGCATAATTATACCCTCTAAACGATAGCTGTTAAGAGGATGCCTACTTGGGAGTATGGAAATAATATTTATTAATTAGATTGTGTTTCCAATGGGCAGTTGCGAAGTACTTGATTCAATAATAGACGATGAAATATTAACTAAAACTTTTGCTTTTCAGTGTCAATTGTTTAATTTAGCTTTGATGAACTGACAAAAAGGTGATGGGTAGGTAGGGGCTACTATCTATGCGCTTAAAAAGCTCATCACAAATTAAAGCTTACAACTTTCAGATAACTTTCAATCAGATTAATTTTTAATATTCATTTGCATGAAAAGTTACTTCAATTGTTTGATTGATTTCATTACAGCTTTTCGCAAAGCTTTAAGTGAATTTGAAGCTTATTTAGCCACTCTCTTTATACGCTTAACAAAATCAATGTGAGCAATTATTATTCAGCTCTCCAATGCTCAGTTTCACTCAAGCTTAGAAGCTTAAAGAGTTTCTTCAAGTTGGTCAAGTTGCTTCATTACATTTTTAATTCACTTCATTCACTATTAAAGCTTATTGGAGCTTTCTTATAACATTCTCTAATGCTTATGTTCATTCAAGCTTTAAGCTTTTAAGCTTCAGTGTAAGTAAGCATTTAAGCTTAAAGAGTTACTTCAAAATTTTCCATTTTTTTTGTCTAATTTAAGTCTTTATTTGATTACATTCAATCCTTCATCAAAACTTTACTGAATTTGAAAGCTTCTTTAACAGTTTGCAGCATACTCTAAATGCAAGCAACATGTTGAATGATTATCAGACTTTCCACCGCTTACTTCCACTCAAGCTTAATAGCTTCAAGTTAATTAAATTTCTTCTTTGTGTATTGCAAGCTTTCAGTTAACCTCACTCAATCCATCAGCCAAGCTTCAATGCGCTCTGCAAGCTTCTGGAAAAGTTTTGTGCATATTCCAAACGAACCGCTACTCCCACTTATTACAGGGTATTTGATTGCAGCTTTTCAGCTTGTTGCCTTTCACATTTACTGCCGCTGCCAAGTTTTGCAATATTGCACCGCAAACTGCAATTACCTGTTAGCTGTTACCTGTTAGCCGGGCGTCAAACCAAACCAAAAATTGTTTGCCAACATTAAATTTATGGCGGTGCCGCGCAAGCCATAGAATCGCGTGTGCAAATGCAACATTAAGGCGGCGTGGCATGTGGCCATGACACGACCGAAAATGCATGGCGCAAGTTAATTTTCATTAAGTTTAAAGCCTGCCTTTAGCATTCTTACTGGGCCAAGCAGTTGGCTCCGTGACTTTGGCTAGCATTGCAATGGCAACGGCAATTGTTTGCCGGTCGCATTTTTTCGCGTGTGAAACGTGAGAATTCGTCCTCTCTCGATTTGAAATATTGAAGTGGTTTCTAGCCAAGAACTGTTTATTTGCCTTTGATTTATGAACTTTCGCCGCGTTTCATTTGCGCCGAAAGCGCAGCACGTACAACTAGTTTACCATTTAAACGGATATTTACTTTGGGCTATTTGATTTATGCCAAGCTGCAGTGCGAACTAGGCAATGCTTAAAGATGTAGAAGTGCCGCATCTAGTATAGTAATATATCAAAAATATTTAAGTAGTAATTATTGTATACAAATACAAATTGTATTTGATTTAGTTAATGAATTATGAAGCAAATCCCAAAGAAACTTCAGACCAACAACACTTAAAGAAATACTTTTTTTAATCCCAACAAAAACTCCTTGTCTTCATAGCTTCACAGTCATGCCTAACGCGCAAACTGCACAGATTTTACTTGTATAATAAATGATTTTAAGTATTTTGCTTGCATTATAAATTCCAGTTTGTAGCTCTAACTACGTGACAGACATTGCGCCTTTTAAAGTTTTCCGCTAACTGCGCCATTTCGCACTTAATTCGCGACGGAAAACTAAGCTCAATGAAGGCAGTTAGAGGAGAAAACAAAACAAAATGACAAACATAGCAACTAACTAACTGAATGACAACATGTTTCAACAATTGTTGCCCGAAATTCGAAACGTGCAGTGACTGCATGTCGTCGATGCAGCAGCAGCACCAGCAGCAGCAGCGTCAGCCAAGGCCAAAGACAAAAAACAATGTGCAGCAGGCAGAACGTTGCAAAAAGACAAAAAAGAGTACAGCAAAATGTTTAATAGACAAGCTGAAAATCACGTTTAGGCCATAAAGCACTCAAACGCGTGTAGCACTGCAGCAGGGCAACAGCTCGAATCATTTTGGCGCCCTAGCAGTTCGAGCAGCTGCCAAAATGTGGTGCCAGCAGCGCCTAAGGAGTTGCTGCGCTTTTATTGGCTAAAACAAGGAACAAAAGTGAAAATATTGCAGCAGGGTGTTGGCTATTGGGCTATGCGCTGTTGGCAGATCAATAATAACTTGAACTTGGCTATAAGCAACTAGCTTGATTCAAAGACCAAAAAGAAGATTAAAGAATTTGAATTCGATTTATAAAAGGTCCTCTCTGTCTTTAATCTATCTCTCTTTCTCTCGATATCAGTCTCTATTTCCCTCGCTCTGTCTCTAGTCAGCTCTCCATTCAGCTCTCTCTAGTCAGCTCTCTCTATTAATCTTTCTCGTCATCCATTTCTTGATCAATTGCTCTCTCCCACAATCATTTACTTTCTGTCTATCTCCTTATGACTTTCTGTCTCTTCCTCACACTTTTTCTCTCTCACTCTCTTTCTTTGTCACTCCCTCTC